TGTCTGCAGATTCCTCAGGCTATAAAATAAGGTTTCTCAGGTGGATATTTCAGAAAGTACCTAATTGGCTTGTCACAAGATAGAAAGCGTTTATTGCTTAATACCACTGCATCTTTCCTCTGCCATTAGTCTTTTAATTTGCTTACTATTCAGGTGCTGTGAAGAGGCAGATGAAAAAATGAACTCTATTTTTTAGTTTCCCAGTGCGCTAATCAGCAAGGTAACCTTTTTCGTTAATAGCAAAGGTGCCAATAAGGAATAGGTACTTGAGAGTCCTCTCGGTAATACCAAAAAGGCAAATCCACGACAACTGCCTATGTGGTTTGTTGCGGTGGGGTTTTCTGTTGTTTGGTTGGGGTTTTTTTAAGTTTTGGGAGGGGAAGTAGCCAGTGTTCTCATACCCAGAATGTTTTTCAACTAGATGCTTTATGTGGCCTCTAGATTGACTTCACTGGTCTTTCTATGCTTGTCAGGAGCAATTTATTCGTGAGAACTCTGCGGATTGGTTGATTTAGTTAAAAGTCACTTAGCTTCCTCTAAAATTCTTTTATGTCATATACCCGCATTTTAACTGTCTGTTACATAATAAAAAAGTAAGGTAAAGTACTGTTATATTCCTTGATGGAACAATTTTTTTTAAAAAAAAAAATAATTTTTCTTTCACTATTCTTAAAGGGATTTTGTCAAAATTATTTTAGTATGTTTGATTGAGATTTCATTGTTTTCCTGTTCAAGCAGTTATATTTCTGATTACCAAAGAGTGCTTAAGTACTCTTAAAGCTATTTAATTTCTGCCCTTTTATTCCTCTTCATTCCGGTGTGTTTTCACTCATTTATGGAACCAAAGCATCTCTGATTTTTTTTGTATTTACTATGCATTTTAAATTTTAAATGGTTGTTGAACTGATTTCTTCTTAGCATTCTTTCTTTTAACAGGACATGCTCCTGCCCCTTCCCAGTCTTCCTTTATAGTCCAATTCACTGTAAAGTCTTGATACTTTCTCCATAACTAGTGGTTCATAAGCTTCTTTTTAAAATAAAACTTGTTTGCTTTGTAGCAGCTCAGTCATCTTTTATGTACTTCCAGTGACTGAAAATGCAGCATCTGTATTTTAACCTGGTGTTTGAAATAACTTAGAAAATTGAAGAGGACAAAAGTTCTTTTTTTGACATTACCCATAGTTTGGTTGTCTGGCTTGTTTGCTGGGTAATTCTTCAGTGGTAGCACAGTACTTCAGGGCTTTGAGGGATTAGTCTCTATGTGGTGATTCTGCGGTGAAGACAGCTCAGCTATCAATGGCTTTGTAAAATGCCTGTCTAGAATCCCTGTTTACAGAGAGTGAAAAGATCTGGATGCCATTTAAGTTCTTTAAATTTTCAGACAGAAAATCCAGTAATACCATGAACACTTGTTGCTCTTTTGGATTTTTGTCTCCTTTCAAATTGTAATTTGTTGCCAGCATTCCATCAAAGGCAAAGGAACCTCAAATTTCTAAAGTGATTTACTTCTGTGTGGTGTTACCATCATCGTTGCTATATCAACTTTCAACAGAAAATCTTGTCGTTCCGGAAATATGCAGAGGAATGTGCAGGTAAGGCAGGGGGGAGAGGAGTGGCCGTACGCTCATTCAACAGCACTGTGTACATATCACTGAGAAAGGAAGGGTCTTCCCAGTAATGTCGACTTTGAATTACTTGATCGTGAAACAGGGAACAAATAGTCTTACCATACACTTTGAACAAAAGGGCAATTTTGTTGGTGTCTGTGCTTGTTGAAGTCCCCATTTCTCTAGATGCTACTCACTTTATAGAGTTGAACTTGCTTTACACTCACAAGGAACAAAACAAAAAAGGTGGAACTACTGTTCAGTAAAGTGATATTTAAAGGGTGTGTGTGACAAGATATCATACTTTCCATCTAATGTTCTGAAATTGAAAATGTTCTGAGGAAGGGCTGAGAGAGCTGGGACTGTTTGTCCTAGAGACGAAAAGGCTCAGGAGGGATCTTGCCAATGTATATAAAAAAAAGTAAAGTGTAAAGAAGACGGAGCCTGACTCTCTTCATTGGTGCCCAGTGACAGGACCGGAGGCAATGGGCACGGACTGAAACACAGTCTGAATGTCAGGAAACACTTTGTCACTGTGAAGATGACCGAGCATTGGAAAGGGTTGCCTGGAAAGGTTGTGAGGTCTCTCTCCTCGGAAATACTCAAAAGCTGGCTGGATGTGGTTCGGGCCACCGTCTCTAGGTGGCCCTGGCTGAGCCAGGGGGTTGGACTAGATCACCTCCAGAGCTCCCTTCCAACCTCAACCATTCTGTGATTCTATGAAATTGCTCTGGAGTCATAAACTGAACCTACAACTAAACTAGATAAGAAATGCAGACTGTTTTCTTCATGTTCAGACCTGAAGTCAGTATTCTGATTATCTGGTATCCCAAAGAAGCGACAAATTCAAGTTAGTGTTGACTTTTTTCATTTCTTCCAGTCTTTCTTTTATGGATACAGAAAGTATTACAGGACAAATTATTTTGAAGAGGGTGGGTTGTTTGGTTATTTTTTTTTTTGGGGGGTGTGGGGGGGGTGGGTTTGGTTTTTTTTGTGGTTTTGTGGTTTTTTTTTTTCTTTTCTTTTAGAAGGATCGTACTATGTAAGTTCTTTGCATTTCTCCCTGGGCAGCATCTCCTCATCCTATATAATGTGCATGAGCTACATGCTCTGGTATGTACAAAATTATTTAGTATATTAGCAACCTGATCCTGGATTTTAGGTTCTTATTGCTTACTCTGTACACTATGTATTTTTAATAGATCTCTTATTTTAAAGAGATTCCAATGAAAAAAAATAATTTGCAATAAAGTTGACAAGGAACAGTTGGTTGTGTAGCACTATTGGGAGAAATGTTCAACTTATCTTCACAGATAGTGCTGGAGAGTAGTCAAACAGCAATATAATTCAAGGGAGACCTCACTTTCATGTTTTCAAAGACATTTTGGACTCTAACGTTAGAAAACAACAGAAAAATTACATTTTGGGGGAAAAAGGAGCCTTTGCTTTTAGTAGAGAAAAGCCATTTCTTCAAATGATCTAGATAGTTTAAATAAGGCTGCCTGCTGATTTCAGTAAACACTAAAGAAATGAAGAGAATAGAATGGGATCAAAAGTTACTTTATTTTGAAAAATAAGCACAACATTAATGTGTCGGAGAAGTCAATACTCTTTGTAGCAAGGGAGAGGTACACGAAGTATATAATAGTTCTTGAATGGCTTTCAGTAGTTAATTCATAATTCTCCCCTGTAAATTGAGCCAGGCTGCTGAAAGCTGTGAGCTGAGTATTGCAGCAAGCTGAATTTAATAAAAACATCTTGGCGGATGTGTGAAAGAATTTCTGAGACTCAGAATGGCAATATAAGTAGCAATTAGTTTAAAAGGCTGTCTTAGCTAAGTTTAGTCTTACCTAAAACTCCGAAATATTTGAAAATGGCAGGCTTGATAATCACAGCTTGATAATCTGTAGCTGTGAGATATGTTCCTGGATTTAGAAAGAGTTTTAATAATTATGCATAGAATTAACTTGAAGTATCGGCTTAAAAATCGTAAACTCAGGACTCTAAAAGGTATGGTCATATCCAGATCCCAGGAATTTGAAGGTTCTGAATACTGAAAAAACATATAGTCATTTAGAATGAGGAGGTTAATCATCTTCTTATTCAATTGAAATACCTATGCCGAATGATGTTAGCTTTTAACTTTTTTGCATCCTTTTAATAGCTGCAAAGGATTTTTCCCATCTTTTAATCAAGAACTTTTGTAATATTTTTGCTAGGTCACCCTGAAGTGTTTTCCACTGAGAATAAATGGTACTTTTTTAGTCTTTCTGTATAACAAGTACTCTTGGAATCATCCTGGTTGTCCTGTGTTATGTTCTCCCGGGACTAATGCCTTTCAGTGTAAAGGTGACCTAAGCAAAATGTACTTTGAGATTTAACTGAAGCTTTTATTGTAGTATCTTTTCTCTAATTCATAATTCATCCCTTTGATATTTCTCATTAGTTTTTTAATTACTTCCATGCTTGTAAAAAAAAAAAAAAAGTTAGTAAAATAAAACAGTAGCGAAAAAGCCTATGGTTGTATAATACATTTTACCTAGGCTTATATCTGTAAATTCTTAAACCTATTAACTTGTGTTTCTTTAATGCAGTACAGTAGGGGTTCTCTTTCCTGAAGTAAACTATGTGCTTGTTTACAGTACGGGAGTCCTACTCTGTAATTCATATTGTCGCCTTTACGGACTTTATTTGAATTAGGTGAACTTTATGAATACTTACATTAATTAAAAAATAAAATCTGTGACAAACTGTGAAAATTTTGAAAAGTATTAATGACAAAAAAGGGCAAATTTCTTATATTTGGAAAGAAAGTTTCACTTTTGGATTGTACTCCATGGAAATTAAGAATATTTTTAAATCAACTGGACAAAATATATCTATGTAATCCCATTACCCGGGTTACTTTCTGTCTTGTGTTTTCTACAGTGGAAAAAAATATTAATGTTGCTATTTTCTTGTATAATGATCAGAAAATGACAGCTCTGTGTAATAGGAAATCAACCAGATTTTCCTTAATTTGCTAACAGAGCAACTTACAGGATAAAATAAAAAACGTCAGTACTTTTAGTTCTCTGTTCATTTATCTACTCAGCCTTAAAAGGACATTTTTAGGCTTTATACCATAAGTTGTAGGCTATTTTGCATAAAGATGAAAATCAGTGTCTGATTCCAAGAAGCAAATCCTCAGTCACAGCTAAATGACTTCAAGTCAATGGAGCATAATATCAAGTCAGTCATACTGTGCCAGTTTACATGGCTTCTCAATTATGTTCAGGCAATGGCTTTTTGTAAATAAATAAATTATCTGAAAGGGGAAAAAAGTATCCTAACAGATTTCTGTACGTATTAGTGGTTAATAATATTTGCATTAACTCATGCTTTTCTCTCTCTCTTTTTTTTTTTTAATTAAAAAACACTCTTTGAAAGATCAGGGAAAGCTGCAGAGCAGAGGAGGACAGGGAGGGAAACATTTGCAGTACTGATACAGCCATTCTCAATAGAAGAAATAATTTATGACCTTACGACTTATGGAATAGATTGTATTGTGCTTCCCGTGCCTCCAGAATTTGATATAAACATCGCTAGTTTCTGCTGCAGAAAAGTATGTCGCTCACTGGAATATCCAGGGCCTTAATCCTGGAGTTCTCCATTGGACCTAGAGTTTCTTGTGTTGTGAATCAAGAAATTACATTCAACAAAGTTTGTAAGTTTGACATGACCCATGGCCTCTATTCCTGATTATAGACAAGTTCAAAATAGGGAATAAATATTTTGGATAAAGCTACCTTTGCGTGCCTTACTTTGAAGAGCAATAGATTTTTATCGAAGTGAAATATATTTTAATTTCTTGCCGTGTTCCAGAATAACCTAGGAATTGTTAGGGAGAAGAGTGAAGATCTAGACAGATCAAAGAAATTATTCTTCTTTAGCCCCTTAAAGTCCATAAACCAGGTGAGGTCTTGTTTAGAAGGCTTACGTGGGAAAGAAGTCATCTATTTTTTTTCTTTTTTAGTGT